CTGACTAAAGAAAAAAAGAGTGAAAGAAGTAAAAAGGGAGTAACAGAACAAAAGCTTACACAGAAACAGCTTGGAATATAAAAGGGAAAATTTTATTTGTATGTGCAGCACTTGATTTGAGACATGCTGGTCTCCTAGTGCCATTTCAGAGCTCTGAAATAAACTTGGCTTGTTTTCTCCCCTCGGTGTCTTTATTGGTGCCAAGCACACCGGGCGACGAACCCCTGTTTGTCATCTCGGGGCCCAGTTCTGGGCAGGCAACAGTTTTGGCGCCCAACGTGGGGCTCGAGGCTGAAATTTAGCCTTGCCCGGATCCCTCCTGGCGGCCGACGTATTACAGCGACGACCGACGCCCAGCGCGCACCGGTGACTTCATCGGGGGCCTCGACGGAGACGTGGTTTGCTCGACCTCGGAGGGCACAACGGTGCAACGCACACAGACAGTGGAGAAGCAGCTGCGGGCGACGGTGGGGAACCGGTCCCGTGGATAGGGCGACGGTGCAGAACCAGACCCTTGGATAAGGTAGGAACAGTCCAGTGGGGACTTTATCTGTCTTGACCTGGGGACGCCCAGAGTCTCCCTATGGGGCAGGAACAGAGTACAGCTGGCAGGGTACAGTGTACACCCTTAGAATGCATTCTGGGGAACTGAGAAGTGTCTGGATCTGACCAGTTAATTAAAAGTAAATTGAAAAGGTTCTGTACAGGTGATTGGCCTCAGTATCAGCTAGAGTGCCAAGAAAGGTGGCCACCGGAAGGATCACTCAATTACAACAGATCTTACAATTGCTTTTGTTTTGTCAGAGAACAGGTAAATGGAATGAACATCTCCATGCGTATACGTTTATGGTGTTAAGAGATAGGACTGATATTTTACATAAGTGCCATTTGACTCCGACAGGCTCGGTAGTAACGGCTGCTAAACCCCAGAACCCTCCTACAGTTGTAATGGCAGAATCGGTATCCCCTTCGGCTCCTCCACCCCCACAGGCTCCAGAGAGTACCCCCCTCCTTGGTGGGATTGTATCCGTTGATTACTGAGAATATGGTAGCCCGTCCAGGAACACAGGATCGTGCAGCCCAGATTGTGTCAGTGTATTCTCATGTTGCTTTTAACCCTGTACGTCTAGCTGCTTTCAAGGCAGAGGCAGGGGAGTTCTTGACGAATCCAAGCAGGTTTATTTCAGTCTTTGAAGGGTGTCTGGCTAGCCATAAGCCTGACTAGGATGATTGCAATATACTTATGAGAATCTTGTTGTCTGAAGTGGAGTGGAATCAGGTTATAGCTAAGGCTAAGAAGGCACAGAGAAGGCATTTAAAAGTTTGAAGGGAAAGCTATTGGACACCAGAGGTTGTACAGAGTGGAATCCTCAGAAGTGAGTGTGCTTGTCCTGGTTTGTTGCTTCAGAGCTCTGTACAGAAGTTATGTTACTGAAAGGATGTGTAATGGCAATGTGTATGTGTTAATGGTTGGAGAAAAGGTGTATGAGTGAAGAGTGGAAGGTTCCTTTGGAAGTTAGAAGAAGCCGAGAAAGGGAGAAGGAAGAGAACAGAATGAGTTAACTGAGAGGAAAATACAGCTAGCAGGATCAGTCCAAGGACATTGTTCACAGCCA